CGGCAAGGCAACTTTTTTGCGGGGGGCTGGTGGGGAGACTTCCGTTTGATGATGGAGAAGCTACTGGGTAAGTTCACTTTCTGAGATTTTAACATGAAGTACATGAAAAATATAGAAGCAGTCCATAAAATCAAGTAGGTGAATAATATTGTTCCATGTGGCGTTTCTAATTGAAACATTCTCTTAATCTTACAGTTTAACATGTTTGAAATTAAGAATGTGCTCACCCATGATAGAAGCATTAAAAGGGGGGGAGGGAGGGGTTGAGTGCAATCAGACCAAAATGTGTAAATGCAATCCCAAAGGCCCTCCCTAAAAACCTATACATTCCCAGAGAACTTCCCCCAGAACCTCAATGCGTTCCCACAGAACGTCCCTCAGAACCTAACGCGTTCCCAGAGAACTTCCCTCAGAACCTAATGCGTTCCCAGAGAACTTCCATCAGAATCTAATGTGTTCCAAGGAACCTCCCTCAGAACCTCAATATGTTCCCAGATGAAACCTCCTCAGCAAACCTCAGCATTACGGATATCTCCTCAGGACCTAATGTGTTGCAGAGAACTTCCTCAGAACCTAATGCATTTCCAGAGAACTCTGCCATCAGAATCTAATGTGTTCCAGAACCTACCCTCAGAACCTCAATATGTTCCCAGAGAACCTCCCTCAGAACCTCAGTGCATTACCAGAGAATCTCCCTCAGGACCTAATGTGTTCGCAGAGATCCTGCCTCAGAACCTAATGCGTTCCCAGAGAACCTCCCTCAGAACCTAACGCGTTCCCAGAGAACTTCCCTCAGGACCTAATGTGTTCCCAGAGAACTTCCCTCAGGACCTCAATTCGTTCCCAGATAACTTCCCTGAAAACCTCAATGCATTCCCAGACAACCTCCCTCCAAACCTAATGCGTTCCCAGAGAACCTCCCTCAGAACCTAATGGGTTACCAGAGAATCTCCCTCAGAACTGAAAGGCATTACCAGAGAACTTCCCTCACGACCTAATGAGCTCCCAAAGAACCTCCCTCAGAACCGAAAGGCAACACCGAACAACTTACCTCAAGATCTAATGTGTTCCCAGAAAACCTCGCTCAGAACCTACCACGTTCCGTTCCCAGAGAACTTCCCTTAGAACCTAATGCGTTCCCAGAGGTCCTCCCTCAGAATCTAATGCGTTCCACAGAAATTCCCTCAAAACGTAATGCGTTCCCAGAGAACTTCCCTCAGGCCCTCAATGCGTTCCAGGGAACCTCCCTCGGAACCTCAGTGCATTCTCAGACAACCTCCCTTAGAACCTCAGTGCGATCCCAGATAACCTCCCTCAGAACCTAAACGTTCCCAGAGAACCTCCCTCAGAACCTCAGTGCATTCCCAGAGAACTTCCCTCAGTACCTAATGCATTCCCAGAGATCCTCCCTCAGGACCTAATGCGTTCCCAGAGAACTTCCCTCAGAATCAAATGCGTTCCCTGAGAACCTCCCTCAGGACCTGATGCGTTCCCAGAGGACCTCCCTCAGAACCTAAAGCTTTCCCAGAGAACCCCCATCAGGATCTCAGTGCATTATCAGAAAACCTCCCTCAGGACCTAATGCGTTCCCAGAGAACCTCCTTCAGAACCTAATGCATTCCCAGAGATCCTCCCTCAGAATTTAATGCATTCCCAGAGAAATTCCCTCAGAACCTAATGTGTTACCAGAGAACTTCCCTTAGGACCTCACTGCGTTCCCAGAGAACCTCCCTCAGAACCTAAGTGTGTTCCCAGAGAACCTCCCTCAGAACCTAACGCGTTCCGAGATAACCTCCCTCAGAATCTCAACGCGTTCTCAGACAACTTCCCTCAGAACCTAGTGGGTTCCCAGAGAACTTCTTTCAGGACCTAACGCATTCCCAGAGAACTTCCCTCCCTTAGAACCTAGTGCGTTCCCAGAGAAACTCCCTCAGGACCTAATGCCTTCCCACAGAACTTCCCTCAGAACCTCAGTATGTTCCCAGAGAACCTCCTTCCGAACCTAATGCGTTCTGAGATAACCCCCTCAGAATCTCAATGCATTCCCAGAGAACTTCTCTCAGGACCTAATGCGTTCCCAGAGAACCTCCCTCAGAACCTAATGCGTTCCTAGAGAACTTCCCTCAGTACCTAATGCGTTCCTAGAGAACTTCCCTCACAACCTAATGTGTTCCCAGAGAAATTCCCTCACAACCTAATGCGTTCCCAGTGAACTTCCCTCAGGACCTCAATGCATTCCCAGAGAATCTCCCTCAGAACCTAATGTGTTCCCAGAGAACCTCCCTCAGAACCTCAGTGCGTTCCCAGAGAACCTCCTTCGGAACCTCAGTGTGTTCCCAAAGAACCTCCCTCAGAACCTCAATGCGTACCCAAAGAACTTCACTCAGAACCTCAATGCGTTCCCAGAGGACTTCCCTCAGAACCTAATGGGTTCCCAGAGAACCTCCCTCAGAACCTAATGGGTTCCCAGAGAACCTCCCTCAGAACCTAATGCATTGCCAGAGAACTTCCCTCAGGACCTCAGTGCGTTCCCCAAGAACCTCCTTCAGAACCTCAATCTGCTTCCAGAGAACCTCCCTCAGAACCTAATGCATTCCCAGAGAACCTCCCTCAGAACCTAATGCGTTCCCAGAGAACTTCCCTCAGTACCTAATGAGTTCCCAGGGAACCTCCCTCAGGACCTAATACGTTCCCAGATAACTTCCTTCAGTACCTAATGCGTTCCCAGAGAACCTCCCTCAGAACCCAATGTGTTTCCAGAGAACTTCCCTCAGAACCTCAATGTGTTCCTGAAGAACCTCCCTCAGGACTTTCCCACAGCCGCTGTTGCTCTCCCCATGGGAGCCACCTTCTGGTCCCTTCCAAGTGCGTTCTTTAGACTATGAGGAGCTTCCTCTGGGAGCCCAGGCCAGTCTATCTCCAGTCATCTTTGTCTCCAGTCATCTTGTCACAAGTCATCTTGACCTTTCCAAAATCTGCCTTCCAATGTGGAAGGGCTTTCTACAGTTACTCTGGCTGTGGACAAGGACTCAGGGGTTAGGCGTCTTCCTCCTTTTCTAATGCCCCCTCACGCACACAACAGACACTGGAGCATGAACACAGTCTTCAGCTGTTAGTTTGGAAGTCTTTGGGATTTTTTTTAAAACAGGGTGGGAGGGAAGGAACCTGGCCGCAGTGAGATGCTTTATAAAAATCTTTGGAGGCTACACGTTTGTGAAAAGCATATACTATATTTTGTTTGCTTTTTTTTTTTTTTTTTTTTGAGACAAAGTCTCTGTCATCCAGCTGGGTGGCATAGTAACGGCTCATTGCAGCCTCCACCTCCTGGGCTCCAGTGATTTTCCCACCTCAGCCGTTCAAGTAGCTGGGACTACAGGTGTGCACCACCACACCTGACTAATTAAAAAAAAAAGTATTTATGAAGATGAGGTTTCACCATGTTGTCCAGGCAGGTCTCAAATTCTGGGCTTGAGAACTCCTCCTACCTTGGCCTCCCAAAGTGCTGGGATTACAGGTGCAACCCACTGTACCTGGCCATATGAAAAGCATATACTCTATTATATAGATGATCCATAAAATAAAATCAGAGTCCATGAGTTCATACTGATATACAAACAAATGGGGAAGAGGAAAAATTCTTCCATATAGTAGAACTCCAATTAGTAACTGTAGAAGAAATGATGAAAATAGACAATCAACATTTGGCAAATGCCACAGAAACAATGCTTCAGTCAGGAATCAATCATGAAGGGATGCAAAAATGAGTGGGCAAAAGTTTGATGAGAGCAGGATGTTTACATAATATCATCCCATAAGATACTTATTAATCACCAGGAGAAAAATAGCAACTTCACAGTGAAGACAGTTGGCAGGTACCACCTAAAGCAAGTAATCAAAGTGTCAGCAATAATGGGACAAATCAATGTGATGTGCCTCCTGACACAATGCACTGGGGATACAATGCCACTTTTATGGCATTCTTGCCCAAAATGGATTTAATCAAGAAAAAAACAAAAACTAAGGACATTGTACAAAATACCTGCCCAGTACGCACTGAGGCTGTGAAAGACAAAGAAAACATGAGGAATGGCTGGGCGAGGTGGCTCACGCCTGTAATCTCAGCACTTTGGGAGGCTGAAGTGGGTGATCATCTGAGCCCAGGAGTTCGAGACTAGCCTGGGCAACACAGGAAGACCGCATCTCTACTAAAAATAGAAAAATTAACCGGGCGAGGTGGCGTGCACCTGTGGTCCCAGCTACTTGGGAGACTGAGGTGGGAGGGCTGCTTGAGCCCAGGAGATGGAGGATGTAGTAAGTCATAATCTCACCACTGTACTCCAGCCTGGGGACAGCATGAGATCCTGTCTCAAAAAAGGAGAGGAGGGGAGGGGAGGGAAAAAGATGAGGAACTACTCAAGATTAAAGGAGACCAAGACCAAAGAGATCTGACAACGAAATGCATGATTATTGGGTCCTGGACCAGAAAAAGGGAAATTAATGGGACAGTATTACCTTCTTGATTTTGTTAACTGTGGTTGTTATGTAAGATGTTAACATTCTCTGAGGAGGGCATGTGAGAATTTTTTGTCCTATTTTTGTAACTTTTTTGTAAGTCTAAATTATTTCAAAATGAAAGGTTGAATTATACTTGAAAACATATACATTCGAGATTAGGCTTTCTTCCAATACCCAGTGCCTGACACTGTAAAGCTGTGTGGGCTGACATATGTCAGGGCTCAATACACCCACATGGGAAGGGATCCCAGTGTAGGGAGCCACTGGGGACCTTATTAGGGGCAAACTCAGGCCCTGAGATTTATAGACACAATTAATGATAACATTCAAAAGATGTAAAAATATCCCTAATGGGTTTCTAGGGAGGGTCACAGGCGTGCCACATCCAGCTTTCAGCCCCGGAAGGAGCTGTGTGCTTCTGAGACCCAGTCATGACCAGAGCGGCGAGAAATGCAGGCAGAAAACAGCGAATGCTCCTCACTCACTTGTCTTGGGATTCGATATACACGTAGAGATGAGGCTCAAAACACTTGGAAACAATGCCATGAAATGGATTGTCTGGGGCTTTAGGCTTCTTTGGCTGTAAAAACAAAGAAAAATAAATCCTATACCTGAGTGATCTTTGCAAATGTTCAAGAACTTTTTTAAAAACATAACTTCAAAGTTCACTCCTAAGTCACAGATGAGAGAGGACTCAATGTAACCCAACATGATAGCTTCACGATTTACCCTGGCAGGTGAACAAAACACCAGCTTTGTTAGCATCACCCACTTGCTCTGGATGGTGAAAGACATACTGTTACCTGGATAGCATATGTATGTTGAATCTGGAAGCTCGTCATCATCTATCCGACTGGTGTTTTCCAGAATTTAAACCCTGGCTAATAACAGCACCTTGTATTTGTACAATGCTTTAGAATTTAAAAAGTGCTTTCACACAATCCAATTTTTGATAGCACTTTGATACCAACTAATATGTCACCTGCTCCTCACAATAATCCTTCATGTAGGTATCATTACTACTATTTTATACCTCAAGAAATGAGGACTCAGAGGCTCTCTAACCTGCCCCAAGACATATGTAGAAGTCTGCTTTTCTTAAACTAGAACTCTATTATACCATTATTTTCCTGCAATGGTTCCCAGAATTTTTTGAATTCCATCAGTAAGAAAATGTAAGAAAAAGAAGGATGGAAAACCAATAGAGGGTTGTTAACTTTATTTTGCTACTTTCTATTCTTACCACAAGTTCCTAAAAAAATAAATAAATAAATAGTTTTTTTGTTTGTTTGTTTGCTTTTTGAGACAGAGTCTCCCTCTGTCAACCAGGCTAAAGTGCAGTGGCGCCATCTCAGCTCACTGCAACCTGCGCCTCCTGGACTCCAGGGATTCTCGTGTCTCAGCTTCCTAAGTAGCCGGGACTATAGGCACGCGCCACCACGCCGAGCTAATTTTTGTATTTTAAGCAGAGGTGGGGTTTGGCCAGGCTGGTCATGAACTTCTGGCCTCAAGTGATCCACCCACCTCCACCTCCCAAAGTGCTGGGCTTATAGGCATGAGGCACGGCGCCCAGCCAGAAAATCGTATTTTATACCCTCAAATTTTATAAGAATAAAATAGCAGCATATAGGCAGTACGTTCTAAGAAAGGACAGTTGGTAACCTTACATCAGATAGATAGAGAGAGAGACACACACACAGGCAGGCAGGCAGACTATACTGTCTTTATTTTTTTGCTTTAGGCCACTGCAATACTAGACCAGCACTGGTTTCCAGGCTGTTACTTGGAAGCCACTGATAAAGAAGTCATATGACAGGCAAGTATTTTAAAACTACATTTGCTACTTAATTCCTTTCCAAATATCTAAAAAAAAAAAAAAAACACAAAGATTTTCCTACATATTACTTTCTATTCCTAAAAAACGTGAATTCTGTCTGTTGCCAAATGTCCACAAAATGACCCTGAGCCAAACACACCTTGCTGGGGTTGATACTAGAATATAATTAGTATGTAAATTGGCACCCACAACATACTTGTTAAATTGAACTACTCATATCTTATTTTTTTTAAACCCACTTATTGAGGTATGATTGACATTTTAAAAGCCCTACATATTTAATGTATACATCTCGATGCATTTGAGGTTAAGTATACACCCATGAAGCCCTCACCACCATCAAGGCAGTAAGTGTATCCACCACCTCCTCAAGCTTCCTCCCACCCCTGTTGTTATTATCACTTGTGGTAATAATACTTGCCGGGCGTGGTGGCTCACGCCTATAATCCCAGCACTTTGGGAGGCTAAGGCAGGCAGATCACGAGGTCAGGAGTTCAAGACCAGCATGGCCAATATGGTGAAACCCCGTCTCTACTAAAAAAATACAAAAATTAGCTGGGCGTGGTGGCGGGTGCCTATAGTCCCAGCTACTTGGGAGGCTGAGGCAAAGGAATCGCTTGAACCCGGGAGGCAGAGGTGGCAGTGAGTCGAGATTGCACCACTGCACTCCAGCCTGGCGACAGAGTGAGACTCCATCTCAAAAAAAAAAAAAAAAAAATACTTAACATAAGATCCACCCTCTTGAACTGCTTATATATTTTAATAAATACTGGAAGAGATAAGCCCCAATGACAGACAGAAATGATAACTACCTATTTCTGGTCTTTTTTATTATTTTTTTAAATAACACATTGCAATGGTAAAAAACATCTGTAAAAACCGATTTGTAAAAAATGATCACCAAAAATTAAATGTCAACTTCAGATAGACCCACTCAATCTTGTACTTAACCCTCTTCCCTTTTTACCTTCCAGGAGCTCCATATCTTTCATTTTTTGGCAAGATTTCTAGAAACTCTGGTCCTTCCTAAGAATAAATACAATCTGCACTGTTTACTCTTATCATCTGGAAACCACTGCCATAGCCAGGCCTTGGACTGAGCCCACGGTAGGGCCTGGGGGACCACACAAGCCTGGCTGATTGAGCTTGAATCTGCTGGGTCTCGAATTCCACTTGAGTGCACAGATGTCCTGGGAGTTTTTTGCACTTCCATTAGTTCAAGATGAAGGATCTATGATGGAGGATGAGGACTGTGAGGGGTGTCCTCACTCGCCCTGTTTTTTCCAAGTCAGTATCTATCTTTTATTATTGATTCACTAAGATGATTTAAGTGAACAGAAAAATGTGATTTAATTTATCTAACTCTATAGGACTAGATATCATGGATTTAGATTTGGAAAACGGTTTCTACAAACAGATATGTTTTTATTAATTAAATAATAATGATAAGCATTATGGCTATTCTTTTCATTGAATTTTTTTCTTCTTTTGAAGAAAATATTCACATTCTGCAGGATGACTTCTGGTAATTATACATGTGAATTTACATAATACAGAATGTTACCATTTAAAAAAATCAACATGCATATTTTGCTTTTTTATTTTGAACATGTATATTTTATATTCAGCTTTACTGACTTGCTAATTTATGTGTACTTTCCCAACTGCTGACAATATTTTATCACTTTAAAATGGCTACATTATGAAACTCTTAAAAAGCCTATAGATTATATAATATTACTGTACTGATGTTAAATTTTCTGATTTTGATCTATGGTAATATAAGTGAATGTCTTTCTTCTTAAGAAATACCTACTAAAGTTCGTGTCCTTTGTAGGGACATGGATGCTGCTGGAAACCATCATTCTCAGCAAACTATCGCAAGAACAGAAAACCAAATACCGCGTGTTCTCACTCATAGGTGGGAACTGAACAATGAGATCACCTGGACACAGGAAGGGGAACATCACACACTGGGTCCTATTGTGGGGAGTGGGGGGAGGGACAGCATTAGGAGATATACCTAATGTAAATGATGAGTTAATGGGGGCAGCACACCAACATGGCACATGTATACATATGTAACAAACCTGCATGTTGTGCACATGTACCCTAGAACTTAAAGTATAATAAAAAAATTAATTAATTAAAAAAATACCTACTAAAATATTTACGGGTAAAGGACATTATGTCTACAACTTACAAATTGTTCTAAAGGTCAGGGGGGAGTGGGGGAAAAATGATAAAGTTATGTAGGAAAATGCTAACAATTGCTGAATCCAGAAGAAAGATATTTAGGAGCTCCTTATAACTTTTCTCCTAGTTTGACATTATTTAAAAAAGAAAAAAAGTAAAGGATAACGACAAAAAACTTGGAAAATGGGTACCAACGGCCTGATGGAAAATTCCAGAGACCGCAATGGAGCCATCTTAAGAATGGCACATCGTCAACACCACACGGGCTGGGGGGCAACACTGTGTGGGAGGCAAAGGCACTCCTGCCTCGGCGAAAAAGGGGTTTGGATCAATCTCCTGGTTTGATGATGCACTCTGGTGTCCCCCTGAAGGAAGATGAGAGATGGGAAGGGATCTGGATCAATTTCCTGGTTTCATGATGGACTCTAGCGCCCCCCGGAGGAAGCTGAGAGATGGGAAGGGATCTGGATCAATTTCCTGGTTTGATGATGGACTCTAGGATGTTAGCTGTCCCCTGGAGGAAGCTGGGAGATCAGTACACTGTACCTCACTGACTAGGTTTATAATTTATGAGCCCATAATTAATTCAAAATATAAAGGTTTTTAAAAAGTGGTTCAGAAGATGTGGGCCTGCATGTGAAGAAGTTTTATAAATATCTTTATTTATTTTGCTTATAGTTTCCTTTTTATGTATACACAAAAGTGATATATGATTGGAGATAAACTATGTTGGAATAAGTTTGAAGAACTCATCTGGTAAGTATAAAATACAGATTCTAACTGGGAAAAGAAACTGGCTATATAATTCCAACAAACTCATCTTGATCAGTCTGCCACAGGCCCTGCCCTTGATGAGGCCCCACAGGACACTCAGAAAGCTGCACGACCAGGCAGCGCCAGGGTTCCACCTCTATCTGCCTGCCCTCCCCACCAACAGCGCTCTTCCGCAGTGCGGCGGGACCCCTGACCTTGCCACCACAGCACCTAGGCCGTCCTCTTGCAGCCTTTCTAGTGTGAGCTGAAGCATGAGAGGAATAACGGGAGAGATTGCCTCCAGTTTCCTTTTTCCTTACTTTTTTCCTACAGGGCTGCCTCCTGCCTATGGCTGTGTGATGAACGTGCTCAGTTTAGATGATATGTGCCGGAATTTCGGCTAACTGGCGTCTCCCTTTGCACCACGCAACTCCCCAGAGGGTTGATTCTCAGCTTAAACACTACACTAAGTCATTTAGCAGTAGCGTTTGGGCCAGGTTCTGAGTGTGTGAATTCCGCCCAAAAGCTGCACATGTTTAAGCTATTTCCTCCTGGAGTTTGGTGGAATAATAAAAGGTTACTGTTGTCACAGTGAGGAGGTCTGCAGCTGGTCCCATTTCCTTTTATTACTACCCAATGTAAACAGATTAAATCGAACTGCTTGGGTCACCAGAAGGGACATTCCTTATTTCTTCTCCTTTCTGTTATACCTTCAGTGTCCCTCAGGCCCCTTTCCGATGTCAATCTTTATCATTGGGAATATCTTGGCAACTGATTGCTCGGGCCCTCTTCTAAACTAAATACCTTTTTTCATGTTCCCTCTCTCTCCTCAGCAGCCAGGCGTAAACTGCAGTAGTGAGCAGGCTGTGACCCTTACCTTGAGAGCCACATGGCTACTGACTGCAGCCATGGAATGAGTTAGGTCACCCACGGGGCCAGCAGGGACCTTCCCTCCAACCACCTCGGGCTGAGTTCACCACTAACATCTGGTGGGGTCCCTCCCCAACCCCAAGGGCTCTGCTCTTGTTGTGTACCCCACTCTGGGAAGAGGGAGACCCTGGGGCACCCACCTAATCAGCCACCAGCTAGGCCAGGGCCGGTGAGGCAGCAGGAGGTCAGGGATGGCATGGGTGGAGGCATTAGTCACTGGCACTGGCATATAAGTTTTATTACTAATGAGTAATAGCCCATGAAATGGCAAGTAGATCAGCTAGATCAGGGGTTTAGTTGTTTCTTTTGAGATGGAGTCTCGCTCTGTCGCCCAGGCTGGAGTATAGTGGTGTGATCTCGGCTCACTGCAACCTCCGCCTCCCGGGTTCAAACGATTCTCCTGCCTCAGCCTCCTGAGTAGCTGGGATTACAGGTGCCCGCCACCGCGCCCGGCTAACTTTGTATTTTTAGTAGAGATGGGGTTTCACCATGTTGGTCAGGCTGGTCTTGAACTCCTGGCCTCAGGTGACTGGTCTGCCACAGCCTCCCAAAGTTCTGGGATTACAGGTGTGAGCCGCCGTGCCTGGCCATTTTTTTTTTTTTTTTTTAATGACATAAAATCCCTGGTTCAAAAAAATGTTTTATCTGAAAGCCGACGATACAAAATGACTCGCAATAAAACTGCTCTGATCGCAGGATCTAGGTCCCTGGCTGCCTCCTAACTTCCACAGTGACATCTGACGGGGCACCAAGGAACACAGTTTGAAAACCATTAGCTCTCACTGAAGGCAAACTGGGGAAGTCTAAAGAGAGAGAATAACCTACCTAAGGTCACATGGTCGGTCAGCTAATGGCCGACAAGAGTCCGACATTTTCCCAGCACGTGGCTCTGCTTTACCCCAGGTACTGGTCAGGTGTCAGTGTTCTGTGTTCTTAGAATGAGCAGGTCTTGGTCCTTACAATAGTAACTTTAAGTTTCCATATGAGGAAAAAGTTCCAAGAAAAAGGAAAATTATATTTTACCTGGCAAAACTGATTGTGTAGGGAATGGGGCCTCTCTATCTTAATCCAATTGAACAACATCCAGAGATGACTAGCGAAAGGAGTAACTTTTCCTGGCAACACTAGAAGCATCGGAGTGTTTAATTACACAGTTTTGGACATGACCATGGCAGCCACTAGCACTGGTGAGACAACAGGGGTCTGCAAACGGCTCTCCTGCGCAAAGCATGCCCACAGGGCACAGGTGGCCCTGTGTGGATGGAGGACACACCGGAAGGACGGGCTCTACACCCAGAGCCTTCTTTCCACCCTACTCCCTGCTTCCAAAATGCAACTGAGAACTGCATCTAATTAGTTACAAGACACTGTTCGTTTTCTCCCGTGCCAGTCAATACTATGATGGCTTTAAATCAACTGCATCTAATCCTATATATACATCTCCAGGATGGAGCCTCCTCAAGATGTCCCATCGGTTTTGTTCATTTACTTCTATTCCTGAGATTCAGTTCTATGTCCTCGACTCCAACGAGACACGAGTCTATCAACAAAATAGCACTGGGAAAGGATTTCTAGTTTCTGACATTGAGACCTGGCTTCCAGTTTAAGCTCCTCCACTTCCAAGCTATGCAACCCTGGGCCAACCACTTAATCTCTCTGAGCTGCAGTTTCGTCACCTATAAAGCGAGAGGCAGGAATTGTGAAGATGACATAAAGCATGTGAAAGAATTTAAAAGTGCCAAGGACTATAAAAGTGTGAGTATCCATTCTATTACATCGTTTAATCAAGGGACCAGACACATTTGATTGTGTCATTTCAGAACTGCTCCTGGGAGCTCTGCTCTCTGGGCTCCTGCCCTCATGATGCTGGGAATGAATGAATGCAGGGCTAGCTGCAAAGTGCACGGCTGCAGGTTTCCCAGAGCTGGTCCTCCCAGCCAGCCTCTCTTTTGGTGGTGTCTGGAGCAAAACACCACCATACAATAATCCTCCAGCAGTCAAGTGTAGAAAATTAAAAAGAGCGATCACTAATCTAGAAGGGAAAAGTTCTGATTTATTGCTCTAACCTCCCTTGTCATAACATGGCAGTAAACCAAAAACACCATTCTGTAGGATGAAGGGAGAGGAAATTTAGACTTGGACAGAAAACTCCAAAGGAAATTAAAGTGTTAGTGTGCTCTGAAAAGTAACTCTCCAAATATGCCAGTGGCCACCGTGATATTTCCAGGCCTCCCCAGTGGCTTCCAGACCTAAAGTGATCAGCTCACTGCGTGGAGGCCTCTCCTAGCCGAGGGTGCTGCGGGCTTCCCGGGGCTTGTTCAGCCTCTCACATCACCACTGTGCCAGGCGACAGTCAAACTGAAAACTGAGCTGACAAGTTCAGGAGATGCTGAATGAAGCAGAGGAGAACTCTTCTGGCCCCAGCCAGTGGCTAATGAAGCCTGCGTGTGTCCCGGCGGCCGGGCTCTGCAGGAGCAGAGATGTGGGGCAGGCAAGTCTGCCCTTTCGTGGAGTTTTCTAAATGCACTTTCAGATAAAGGCCTTCTGTAAAGACCACAACAGCTGTCAACTCTGAATGTGGCCAACAGTCAAAGGATCGTATCTGGAGCAAGCGGACCCATTTTCAGAAACGCACATGAGGCGGTTACCCGTGGTGACGCAGACCAGACTTACTTGATCTAAATCTCCTTTCTCCGTTGCCAGTTCCTCCGTCTCTGGTGTTGGCTCATCTTCCAGGAAGGGATTGGTAGATGGGGGTGGAGACTCAAGCTTTTTCTGTTAGGTAGATACGAGAAAGAGAGGTGTTTTCTGAGCATGTTCAATAGCTTTCCCCATTGATCTGCTTTCTCCAGGTGTCTCCAACAGCTAGTCATGCACTCTGATCTAATAAAGAGCGGAGGCAACCCAGACCACATTCTTACCTCCAGGCCTTCACACTGCTTTCCCGTCTTCCCGAAACCCCCCTGACCACCCGGCCCCAACTCGGATCTGGCTAAAACGCTCACACATCCTCAGTCCTCACACTGGAACTCCATTCTGCTGGGACGTCTTTCCCACCCGTCAGGTTTGGGTCAGACGTCCCTGACACGTGTTCCCAAACCATGCTACATGCTGCTACATGCCCCTACCCAGGCATTTACTAAAATACGGCAGTTGCCCATTATTTGTCTTTTCCCTTCTGGCCTCCAGGATGCCAGAGACTATGTCTGTCTTGTTCCCCATCCTATCTCAGTGCCTGGCACGTAGCAGGGCCTCAGTAAACAGAAACGAATCAAAGTGCCAGATGGATTTCAACGCAAGAACAAACTACAAAGCTAATCTCATGTGTTCCAGATTAACAGACGTCTCTTCCCAAATAAGCCCCATTACAACAACCACAACAGAAATCTCCTTGAGAAAATCGACTTCTCAGCTTCCAAATATGACCACTATTTCAAAATACATCACTGAGTAGGAACCATGGGCCAGCGGGAAGGCTGTAGGCAGGAGGCGTGGTAGCTTAGCTCCAACCGTGCGGCACTGGCCCTACCACCCAGCTTCCCTGAGCCTCAGTAACTTCATCTGCAGAATGAGGGTGCAATCACAGCACTATCTGGAGGATCAAATGTGAAACCCAGAAGCAGTACAGGATACATACAAGGGTCGCTGACGACGTTAATTCCAGTACAACTACAGAATCAAGGCAGCTCTCTGGAATTCCTTTACAGTTTTCACCTAGAGATGTTGTTTATGCCTGGGAGGCGAAGGCTTTAGCAGAAAGGAGGCCAAATGGACAAACAGAAAAGAGGGACTGCTTGGTGCTGGGGATGAGGGAATGGGGCAAGGCATGGCTCTCTGGAGACAAAAAGTTAATGGAGAGGGAGTTTCGAAATGTACTTGGTATTTTAGCCAACACCAGTGGGTCGACTTGAATTAATCCCTAAGCCAAAAGGGACAGCAGATGGACTATAGCGTGAATAACTTTGCCAAGTGCCACGACACCATCTGAAGATATTACAAACAAAAAGTAAAACCAAAACTTACACAAAGTCTGGGCGCAGTGGCTCACGCCTGTAATCACAGCACTTTGGGAGGCCGAGGTGGGCGGATCACTTGAGGTCAGGAGATCAAGACCAGCCTGGCCAACATGGTGAAAGCCTGTCTCTACTAAAAATACCAAAATTAGCAGTGTGGTGGCGGGTGCCTTAATCCCAGCTACTCAGGAGGCTGAGGCACAAGAATTGCTTGAACCCAGGAAGTGGAAGTTGCAGTGAGCTGAGATGGCACCACTACACTCTAGCCTGGGTGACAGAGCAAGACTCTGTCTCAAAAATAAATAAATAAATAAATAAAATAACATAAATACCTTGCACAAAAACACTACACCTGCGTCTGGTTTTTGGTTTCAGTCATTTAAACTGCTTATTTGTTGGCCAAAACACTTGGATGCAATTGATGTGGACAGATACAGCCTCGGTGCACGACAAAGCCTTGTGGTGACGGCATTAGCTCGAGGTAATCAGTAGTAAGATGATGACTTTTGTGGTATCTTGGTGAGAAACAATATGGTCTAACACCCAAGCAAGTATTTCACATTTGCACACTCCAAACTTTGGCTTCTTTACCTAACATGAGAGAAAAAAATCCTTAAAAACTTACAGCTCTTTTTAGAATGCAATATTTCCAAGCTTAAATTGTCTTCTTAAGGGCTGCTGATATTTTAGAGAGAGACAGGAATAGTAAGAAAGGGAATCTGCCAAGCTTAATCTTCAACAACCGTAAAAAAGTTAAGTTAGGTAACAGCATTAGCTTCCTGATTCCACTGGCTTAACAGCGGGCTCTGGGATGCTGCTGATGAGCTGAGTCACTATGATTCCAAGTCTTCTGGTCCCTTGTAGATGTGAAACGCTAGTCAGCTGACTGAAGTTGAAAGTTTTGCTCAAAATCATTCAGTGACAGACACAGAATCTGAGTTTTTGAACTAAATGCCCCTCATCTATTGCTAAGTCTATTGGGTTGATAACAGCACCTCACAATTACATAAAGGTGGGCCTCATTTTTAAAACGTAAGGTGTGATTGGAAATCATGGCAAACAGCAGATGTCAGTGAGGTGGACTGAGGATGCTCCTGGGCTTTACTCTCGCTGGCATAAAGCATCAAGAAAACGGAGAAGGGAGGAAGAAGTCACGGGCAGCATTGAAGAAGCAGGCACCATCTGAGGCAGGGTGAGCGCGGGCCACTTGCTCAGTGTCACCATCTGGGGTAGGGTGAGTGCGGGCCAACCTCAGCCTCCCAAGTAGCTGGGACTACAGGTGCGCATCACCACACCCAACTAATTTTTGTATTTTTTGTAGAGATGGGGTTTTGCCATGTTGCCCGGGCTGGTCTCAAACTCCTGACCTGAGGCAATCCACCTGTCTCAGCCTCCCAAAGTGCTGGAATTATAGACGTGAGCCACCGTGCCCGGCCTCTATTAACAGTCTGATGAAATGAGAGGAGTTGTGGACACCAAGGAGCTCCCAGCTCACTCATATGTGGCACATACATTCCACATGTGGACCACGTTAGTACAGGAAAAGTGATTGATTCCTCCCCTCATCCACTCAACAAAGGGATATGCTGGGCCCTAGGAGTAGAGCAGTGAGAAAGACAGGCCAGCCTCAGCCCTCACGGAGATTAGAGTCTGCTGGGGGAGACAGCCTTCAATCCAACAGTCACGCAAACGGTGAGAAGGGCCACGAAGGAAAAGCGGTCATCATGGAAACGTGCAACAGAGGGCCGCAGGAGACGTCCCTAAAGAAAGGATGTCCGAGCCAGAGCTGAAGGATGCCTCAGAGTTAAATATGTGAGGGGTGGAGGGCGGAGGGAACAGCATGTGTCTGCCACTCACTCAGCAATGATGTACTGGGCATCTACTCTGCTCCAGGCACTCTCGGGCGCACCAGGGATGCAAGTGAGGAAGACGGATTGGAGGTGGCGCTGCAGTGGTGAGAGGAAAACTCAGGGAGTGGGATGAGCTGGGGATGAGGGTGGGAAAGCGCGAGGAGACGACGGCTGAGCTGAGTAAGAAGGAACTGCTCAGGCAAAACCCAAGGAAGGATGTTCTCAGCAGGGAGCCCTGGTGGAGATGCTGGAAAGCACTTGGTGAGTCTGAGGGACAGAAAGGAAGACGGGGGGCCTGGGGTAAGAGGGGTGGGGCCTGGGGTAAGAGGGGTGGGGCCTGGGGTAAGAGGGGTGGGGCCTGGGGTAAGAGGGGTGGCAGCAGCCCCGTCACGCAGCCTTTTGTGGGCCATGGTAAGCGTCGGTTTTCTTCTCACTGCAATTGGGCAGTCGCTGGTGGTTTTCAAGAGGGAAGTGATGTGATCTAACTTGGATTTTAAAAATAGTCCACTGCTGTGGGGGAACGGATTATAGTGACAGCAGGAAGCCCAATTTAAGAGGCTGCTACAATGTTCCGGGAAAGGGCTGATGGGGAACCGGACTAAGCTGGTGATGGAGGACAGAAAAAAGCGTCCGTCAGATGTGGGGTATAGTTAGAAGGCAGAGCCAGGAGGCTTTGCTGAGAGTGAGAACGAGGGTGAGGGAACGAAAGGAGTGAAGGGACACCCACTTTCTGGTCCAAGCAACTGCACAGCTGATAGTGCCTTAACTGAGATGGGGCATCCTCGTGTAGTGGCAAGGCACAGGCTCTGGATCTGACAGACCTGGGTTCGAGTCCAGGTTCCACCACCATGGGGTGCGCTGTTTAACTTCTAGCCTCAGTTCTCCTACCTGCAATGTGAAGGGACAGGAATATCCACCTCGCATGGCTGCCATGAGGATGGGATGAGGCGTGCGCGGCAGGAGTGAGCGCCACAGTCACGTGCCACACCATCATGTTTCCACCCATGACGGGCCACGGTACGACGGCGGTTCCACTAGATTATACTGGAGTCAGACGATGGAGTAGGCCGGGGTCTGCAACCCCTGGGCCACCAGTCCACGGCCCATAAGGAAACCGAGCCACACATCACGAGGTGAGCAGCAGTGAGCGAGCATGACCGCCTGAGCTCCGCCTCCTGTCAGGTCTCAGGCAAACCCTGCTGTGAGCCGCTCATTGGAGGGGTCTGGGTTGTGCACTCCTTATGAGAATCCAATGCCTGATGATCTGAGGCAGAACAGTTTCATCTCGAAACCATCCCCCGACCCCCCTCCCCTAACTCCCATCCCCAGCCCCACCTGTGGAAAAACTGTCTTCCACAAAACCAGTCCCTGGTGCCAAAAAGTTTGGGGGCAGCTGGAGTAGGGTATAGCAGGCACACTCTACGAGGTTTGCACAGTGATGAAACTAACGATGCATTTCTCAGAACATATTCCTGCCGTTAAGCAATGCGTGACTGAATATACGCGGCAGCTTAACGTGCTGTTGGCACGCAGGGCGAGGCTCAGCAAGGGGGAGCTTTCAGCGGTGGTTAATAGGGTGAGCCAGGACATGAGGCATAACCGTTGTGCTTCTCTCGATACAGCAGCTCACAGAAGAGAAGACGTGGGCGCGCACGGTTAAAAGTCTTGTCAAAAGAATTTCTGTGAACCGTAAGTGGAACCTTGTCCCAACTATTGTGTCTCTCTGGGATCTCTCTAAGAAATGAAAGCAAAGGGCCCATCAACTTTGCACTTTCTAAGTGGAAAGGCACACTGAGCTGCTCCTTTCTTCCCCAGTCTGCAACCACGCACGTACCGCCCACCTCCCTGTTGACAAAAGTCCCAAAACCCTCAGGTGTGGATACGCATTCCCGCAGTCTGGGGGCTACATGAC